CCGTGACCCAGGACGCCTGGCTTCCGGGCCACCGAACCCCTTTCGTGGGTGACTCAGTGAAGAGCCAGCCTCGCCTCTGCAGGACTTGCCTCCTCAGAGGCAGAGAAATACGATGGCGCAGGTGCCCAGAACAGCGCGAGCACTTCGCCCAGGTTTCTGCACGGAAGGGAGGCTTCAGCGCCGATGAGAAGCAGCAGTGCTGCCCACAAACGCCTCGAAAACTCAAGTTTCCTGGTCGCGGGTGCAGCCCACGCCCTGGACGAAGAAAGCGCTCGGGAAGCTGCCCGCCGCCCAACGGTAGCGACGATGAAGCTTTGGAAACAATACCTGAATGAGGCGGGTGACGAAGAACTTGCTGACAATGGGCACCGGTCAATACTCGCGGGCGGCGGGGATGCGAGACGGCGGCGGCAGCCCTCCCCGTGGAGCCGGCGGCGCTCCGAGCGCCGGTTTCCGGGGTCTGGGTCTGAGGCGACCGGGGCGGCCCAGGCCGGACCCGCCCCTACACTCAACTCAGCCCCACCCGGGGCCCCTTCTGCCGCCGCCCCTCATGGCCCGGTCCACCGCGCTGGGTCCCGCTTGGAGGATCCCCGGCGCGCCCTCCCGGGAGCCCTCCGGGCGGCCGCCGGTCCTCCCTCCCGCCCGCCCACAGCCCGCCCCGCGGCCGCTCACCTGCGCGCGCCCGGCTTCCTCTTGGTCTTCCCTCCCAGGGCGTCTGAAGCCGACCTGCGGCGCCGCCCCCTCTCTTCCCCGCCCTCGCCCCGCCCCCTCGGAGCGGGAACTGCTCGCTTCCGGGCCCTTCTTCCCGCCTCCTGCAGCCCCAAGTGTGACGTCACTTCCGCCAGCGCAGGCCGCGCGCGGGGAGTCCGGGCCTCGAGAACGCGCCGAGAGCGTCCCTAGAGCCGGGAGCGCGCCTGCGGATGACAACAAATTCGTCTCGCGGCGGTGGTGGAGGTGTCCGCCTCAGCCCCTGCCCCAGGCCCTGCCCGAGGCCCCGTCGCCTCCCCGCGCGCTCTCTGGCACCCTCTCTCTGTGAGGACTAGAACCCCTCCGGAAGTCCTCGGGCCTGGGGCGACCGGGACTCCTCCGCCCCTTGTCCCCGGCAGGCCTTGAGCGAGCGGCGCGGCGCAGGAGATGGGGTCGCCCTGAGGGACGCCCGGTGCCGAGAAGGGATGGAGGGGCCACCCCGGGCTTAGGCCCCTCCGCGGCCTGGGGACGCCGGCCAGGAACCTTGCCGCCGCCGCCGCAGCGGCCTGGAACCGGAGCCTGGGCCGGGAGGCCGGAGCCGCCGCCGCCGTCCGCAGCCCTCGCCGGCCCAGCTGCCAGCGCTCATCATGCCTTGGCCGTTTTCAGAGTCCATCAAGAAGAGGGCCTGTCGGTACCTCCTGCAGAGGTACCTGGGCCATTTCCTGCAGGAGAAGCTGAGCCTGGAGCAGCTCAGCCTGGACCTGTATCAGGGCACCGGGTCCCTCGCCCAGGTCCCCTTGGACAAATGGGTAAGAGCTGCCGGCGGCCCGCCGGGCAGGGCTCGCTGTCCTCCTTAGGGAGAATTGAACGAGTGTCATCCAAAATGCGTGACGTTCCATCCGTCTCTGGGAGTGGCAGGGCTCAGAGAAACGTGTTCAAGTCTTGTTTAACCTGTGTCTGGCAAGTTTGCGCCCCCAAATCACGTGCTCCAGAAACTTAACAGAGGCGGTGGAGTCTACACCGTGGGAATCAGTTGAGTCAGTGACTTGGGGTCTATGGAGGCAGGTGACCACGTGCTGCCCCTTCCGGTAGGAGGGGTCGCGGGGTTCTGTGGCAAGCAGACCCTGTTTCATGGGATGACACCCCGGAAAGGTGAAGGATGAGGAGGAGTCAGAATTCCTAGTTCCTTTATTTGTTTTGGCTTGGCTGCTTGCACACCGTGGTGGTGTCCGCACAGCATTTGCCATCCGGAAGAAACTTAGGGGAAGTCCTCCCCGGCCGACTTGCCTTGTTTTGCTCAATGACGCGTTCCAAGGCCAGCCTGTGAATGGTTGTGTGGCCCTGGTAGTGCTGTTTTGTTATGCCTGTTGGTTGCACGTGACAGATCGTAAACGCAGGTGGTGTAAAAGCGCTGAAGCTGCAATTTTCAGACATTTAAACTCCTGTTTTCTACTTGTCACCCAGGGGCTGTGAGTTGACTCGTTGTGTCTTACAGGTGCTTCATGTATATTCCCACATGCCACATACAGTTGCACCTGCATTTGTATGTTCAGGGCATATAGTATTTTACTTGAAGTATATTCAGCCTTGAGCTTGACAAGAATGGAATGGCTTTTCTCTCCCCGCCCCCCCCCAACCCTTTATTTACTGCACTAGAGTTTTGCTGTGTACAGTTTGCGTGGGCTGTACCATCCTAGAGTTGCACTATTCTAAAAACATTCCAACACAGTTTACACTTAGGGCATCATAAATATAGGTGAGTTTCCTATGAGAGATGCGTCAACAAAGGAAACTTTTTTTCCCCTCAGTTTAAGCTGTGTAAAAAGTTTGTGTTTTTTTCCTTTTATGTAAAAGTATTTTAACAGAGTAATGAATTCCTTAGCCACAGAAACTTGAAAAGCTCAAGCTATGGCAACACCTTATTACGACCTTTAAATTAACTGGCACTAGCATGAATAAGCGTATAATTCTATCAGGTCGATGATTTACGCTAGGGAGAGCACATAGTAGAGTGGAAAGAGCCAATCCCAGGCTAACCCAGGTTACCACGGTTAGCCAGTTGATATTGGACATAGTAATTCACCTGAGTTCAGTAAACATTCATGGAGTGTCCACTCTATGCCAGGCACTGTCAGGGTCCTGTGCTGCTCTAACTCTTACCAGAAGATTGGGATTGGGATAGATATTTTTAAATTCAGTGACCCATGAGTCTATACTTTTGGTACAGTTTGAAGAGACTGTCTTGGAGGAGGGTTGGGCATTTATTAACTGCCTTCTGTGGGTCGCATGACTTTGTACCGATTATTCATTAATGACTTTTCACATTAACTCTATAAGGTGAGTGTTATTTCCGTTTTACAAATGGAGTTAAATAATTTCTTATGCTTGCTAATTAATTGGCAGGTGCTGCATTTTTTTTTATATATAAAAGTTAACTTTAAAACCCATTTTGAAAAGCTCTTTGTTCAGCAGACTTTTAGATTCACTTGGGTAATTTTCTGTGTTTTCAAATCTTTTGTAACCGTGTAGATAATGACTTAAAAAAAAGACAGTGTTTTTAATAGACATTATTTCAGCAACAAAATCATGTAACAATGGAAACATTTCAAAATACAATTTTTTAAAACGTTCTCCCCATAGGACAAGTACCTTTTGAAAAGCAGTTACTTTCTTAATCATTATTAAAGTGATACCTTTATTTTGAAAAGATAAAGTATGTTTTGTTTTTTAGAATATACCTGCTAGGTAGCATGTACTACCAATAGCCATCTGTCATCACATGAATGGTTGGCATATTTAGCACTCTAATCTTTGTGTGGAAGAAAGTTGCTTTTCATATTTAAATTCAACTTAAATATTTGGCCATAAGAAAATACAGGAAATCAGAAAGTAACTGTCACTTTCTCTTTGCAAAGATTCGACCGCTTAAATAAAGGCCTGTTGTGATGTAGAAGTAAGCTTCAGGGTGCTGAAATGGGAAATCCAGCTGAGGGCACCGCTCTTCTAACTCCTCCCATTGTGGAACTACTCGTCTTCGCTTTACCAGTCTGATGTAGGGTCTGAGTGCCCATTTGTATATTAAATACTAGTACAACTTCTAAATCTAAAAATGAAAGTTTTTATACCAAATGTCTAGTTTTCTACTCACATCCCTATGGATCATCTGTTATTCTCTTTGGGATATACAAGGTGTGATCACAAAATGCGGTGAATATTTAAATGAAAAAGTTTATTACAATAAAAGACACATTGCCATTAATCCCCCTCAAAATACTCTCCCTCACTTCGAACACACTTATCCCATCGTTCTTGCCACTTTCTGAAGCAGTTCTGGAAGTCCTCTTTCGTGAGTGTCTTTACTTCAACCTCCATCATGACAACACAGTGTCACACATTGCTTCTGGTACGTCACCTTCTGTCAAATACAAATATTACGGTGTGGCCTCATCTACTTTATTCACCGGATCTGGCACCGTGGGACTTCTGGCTCTTCCCCAAAGTCAAAATCACCATGAAAGGAAAATGTTTTGAATTGATTCAGGACATCGAGGCAGCCATGACAGCGTGACTGAAGACACTCATGAAAGAGGACTTCCAGAACTGCTTCAGAAAGTGGCAAGAACAATAGGATAAGTGTGTATGATGCGAGGGGGAGTATTTTGAGGGGCATGTGTCTTTTACTGTAGTGTGTCTTTTACTGTAATAAAGTTTTTTTATTAAACATTCACCGTATTGTTTGGTCACACCTCGTACACTTTGGAGACTAGTAACTTAAAAGGGCTTGTAGTGGGAGGAAGCAGTAGAGGGAAGGGGTTTGGAATTACATATTTCACAACTGGAATGAGCTGTCTTAAAAGTTCATGAGTTCTTTTCCCTTTGAAAATGCTATATAGTATTGGAGTTAAGAGTTGGAGATAAAGATTTGGGACTTATCAGAGTATCAATAGTGACTGAAACTCTGGAATGGCGCAAAGCACATGGACAGTTGTAGATTAGGCTGAGAAACTAAAAAGGTTGAAGATGAAACTTAGATGAACATCAACATTTTAAGTGGTAAAGGGTTGGAAGAAAGAGTGTGTGAAGAGTGTTACAGAAGCTAAGGAAAGCTAGAATTTCAAAAAAAGAAGTGACCACAGGAAATAGATAGAGATGAGAATTCACGGAAGATAAGGATTGAACACTGTTCACTGCATTTGTCAGTTTATTGGCAGGTAAGAGCAGTTTCAGAGCAGCTGAGGGTTAGAAGGCAGATACTATTTTGTGGTTTGAGCAGATAGCTGCCTTGACTAAAGAAAGAGAAATGAGGTTGATGACTAGAGGGGACATGGAGTCAAGGTAGGGGATTTTTGTTTGCTTATTTTTTTAAAGATTTTTTTTGGGAATTAGGGAGGGGAATAGCATTGGAGAATCGGGGTAGGGGAACAGACAAGTTGCTGTCCTTTTGTTCTTCAGTCTAGTTATGGAGGATGTCACTTCACTGGCCCATGTTGGTATTATCACTGCTGTCTTCCCGGAGGCAGATCGGTTGCCTGCTCACAGCGGCTCTTGGCAGCTCATGCTGGCTGTTGGCAACTCACGGTAGCTTACGGCAGCCCACTGCAGCCTACGCCGTCGCCATCGCCTCACGGCAGCCCAGCTCCAGGTCGAGCTGTTGTTCACCATCTTAGTTGTAGAGGGCAGTGTCACAGGCCCTCATATGTAGGATCTGAACCAGGGCCCTCTGGTGTCCCAAGCCAGCTCTTAACCAATGCGCTACTCGGCTGGCCCAGGAATCTACATTTTTAAGAAGCATCATAGGAAATTCTGATGATGCACGTGGTCCTTGACTGCATTTTGTAAAACACCAGTAGTAAAGGGATTGAGCATTTTTTCATTTAGTTTTTTTTTTAATATATATTTTTTATCAAGGAATTGGGGAAGGGAAATGGTGGGAAAGGGAAACAGCCAAGTTGTTGTCCTTCAGTCTTAGTTGTGGAGGGCGCAGCTAGCTCAGCTCCAAGTCCAGTCGCCATCCAGCCGCCTGGTGGCAGCTCGTAGCCACTCA